CGTGTAGCCCTCATCGTGTAAAGCAACTTTAATTCTTAGCTCGAGCGATTCTGACCGACGAATCTTTGAAAAATTGAAGGAAAAAGCTTAACATTTTTGGTTTTTCCCTCTTTGCTCTCTTTTCTCTCTTAATCTCCGATACAGCAGGCCATAGGGGAGGAAAAAGCTGATATTTCAGATATTTTACCCCTATTTATAGTTTTAAAGACTTGGTCCTCGTCGCAACAAGTGTCCTTCTTTGTTCGGGTCCGTTTTTCGCTCCGAAATGATTAAATTTCGTATCGGTTTAAACTCAAAATATTTTATATGAAATTTATTTAAAATATTTTCTAAATTTTAAAATTTTTATAAAATTTTCGTTTTTGAGGGTTAACGGACACCCGTCACCTCGAAAAACGTAAAAAACCCGAATATCTCGGAATTTGACAAAATTTATTTGGATAACTAGATTTCGCGAGACGAATCCAACGGTGAGGTCCATTTTATCATCCGAGGTCTAGAAAAAATACCATTTTTTTAACTCGCACTATAATGACAAATTACTATTTTAACCTTTTTTTATAAAAAGTTTAAATTTTCCCAGGTTTCACATGGTGGTCATCGTAAATCAGCTACCTCGATGTCAATGGAGCTCTGAAGCAGTGAACGTGAAGTAGTTTTCTCCATCGAAAATTGAAATTGCAATGAAGAATAGGGATTGAAAGTTCCTTCCCCTTCGATTTGAGTCTTCGTGCTCACAATGCACAGTGCACACTACTACAGAGACCAGAAGTAAAGAAAGACTGAGAGATTGATGAGACTCTGAGAGAGAGAGAGAGAGAGAGAGAGAGAGAGAAAGAGAGAGAGAAAGAGAAAGAGAAAGAGGTTGTTCGCGAAGAAGGGCTGGTTGGGGGAATGGGGAAGGACCGATTATGATATCAAGGCAAAAATGCCAAAAAAGGCCCCAAAATTCAGTTTTTATACTAAATAAAAAAACCCAGACAGTTTGAGTAACTCGTTCGGTTTGATGATTTTTATCGATTTTTTTTGGGTGGTTGGGTTTACTCCAGTTTTGGTGCATAAACGATCCAATAAGTGAATCGACTTGGTTTAGGCACCAGTTCACCGGATCACCAGGTCAACCTATCGAACCAGACCGAGTTTTAAAACACTACTTTAGAATGCAACTTGCATCTTCAAATGGGTAGTCATTGAACATTCTAGCTTTTGTTTTTTGTTTTTTTTTCTAGAAAGTAACATTCTAGCTATTTTTGTTAACCTTCAAGGGTCACATTCTGCCGTTGGAAGATCGGTTTTTTCTATTTTTCTTCTCTTTTTTTTTGTTACGCGTATCTCGACTAATTCTTTTTTCAATTTGGTCAAAGACAGGCATCCATGCCGAGATTAGAGAATTCATGAGGAAGAAATCTCTCACGGCTTGGTCCCAAGGAGTTGTCAAGATTTGAACTCAAAATGTCTAAGTTTATAGTTCATCTCTATTACTACTTAAGCTAGCCTCGGAAATTTTGTCCTATTTTTCCAAATCTCATATCTAGGGAGCCCTATACTTTTGTCGGACGATCCCTATTCTAGGGGTGCAACTTGGGTTGCGCAACCCAAGCCTAACCTAAAAAAATTAGGGCTTGGGCAAGGGTTTTTAATACTTGGGTTGGGCTTGGGTTAAAAAATTTCAACCTGAATTCAATTTGGGTTGGGCTCGGAATAAAGGATTGGGTTCACAGGTTCAACCCGAATTCTATCGTTCTCTGTCTCTCTCGTTCATTTTCATTTTTGTTCTAGCATTAGCACTGTTAAAAACTTGGTTGAAGTTATTGGTTGTTAATTTAGGTGAATATTATGTAATATATGTACTAGGTTTAGAACAACAAGCCTATTTTGGGCTCTACCCAAACTCAACCCGAATTGAACCCGTAAAATATCCCGAAATCAGTCCGAAATCAGTAACCTGAATTCAACCCGAGCCCGCTCGAATTAAACTTGGGCAGTACTCGGGTTGAAGAACTCAACCCGAGGTAAGGTTAAGATTAGGATTAAGGTTGAAGATTATATACCTAGGGTTGGACTAGGGTTGACTGTCCAACCCGCCCGAGTTACACCCGTACCCTATTCTCATTGACCTAGACTTAAGTGATCATATACGAACATATGTGTATCACAAGCATCTTGTAGTTGAATCTATAATATAAAATAAGATAAACTTCAATAAACTTATTTGACGGTCGCAAATAAACTCATTCAACAACTACAAATATCTCTCTCAAAACTATTTTCATTAATTTACGTTGTACCGTGCCTTTAAGTACAAATTACCCTCGTAGAGTGATAAAAGAGACAAAAAAACCCAACCCACACAAAAATCAAGGTACGTATTGATTAAATGCCCAGATTAATGGATATTGTCCTACCTTTAGTCATTATTATTCGGGTCACCTCTTCTTCTACGTTGTGTACACTGTGACTCTTTGGCCCTACCCAAAATTAACTTCTTGAAATTATGTTGGTTAATGGAATGAATTCTAATATGAATTTGTGTCCATTTAATCAAATATGGAGTAATATTTTAATTTAGGGTTAGTTGTTTTTTATTCCTATGATTTTGACTAGAAAGAATCTTACTTTTTTGACGTTTAAAATTATGCACATTACCCCCTTATAATTATGTGCCAAAGTAACGTAATTGACATCATTTACTGTATAAAAAATTTACATAATACCCACGTTTTAAAATTAGATTTTTCATCTGATTTACTCTTGACCATAAAATCAATGAAACTTGACAACAAACCTACACATTTTGATTAACACATGTCGAGTCTCTTTTTTTCTCAAGAATGGTTTGTTCCTGGGTTGAAAATCACTTAAGTTTTTTTTACATGTTTTTTGATTTGGAACCGATATCCTACCTATTTGAGTATGATGTCATATATTACAAAGGGTATTTTAGGTACTTAGACAATGTTCTTTTTGAGGGAAATAATAAAAACAAAGCCCACAACATATGTTTTGGCCTGTGGAGCACACTCTTCATTAACTTAGATGATAAAAGTAATCATTTTATTTTGGTACATAACTACAAGAGAGTAATGTGAATAATTTTAAATGTCAAGTAGGTAAGGTGTTTTTAATTAAAACCATAGGGATGTAAAAAATAATTAACCCTTTGATTTAATTATTTGAATTTGATCTGAATTGGATTAAGTTTCTTTAATCGAATTTGAATTTTGATACATGTAAATTTGATCTTATATCTATATACACCTATATATTTAATTGAGAGAAATTATCATGTATGCACACATATTTAGTTAGATCTGAATTGGATTAAGTTTCTTTAAACGAATTTGAATTTTGATACATGTAAATTTGATCTTATATATATATATATATATATATATATATATATATATATATACACCTATATATTTAATTGAGAGAAATTATCATGTATGCACACATATTTAGTTAGATTATTAATGAGATTAAAATAAAATTAAATAAAAATTATTGAATAGAATGATTGGTTGATTAAATTATGTTCAAAGTTAACTTAAATTGTTAAAATTATTAGTTTTTTCTAATATTTTTTTGGGATTCAAATTTTCAGATCGAAATCGAATATCTGATTATTAACATATGCAAATATTGATTAAGATATTAAAATTTATCAGATAAACGGATCGAATTCAAAACTCAATATTTTTATCAGATTGTCATTCTCTTATCTTTTCGATTTCTCGCATTTGGATATGGACAAATCCAGATTCGATATGTTGACAGTTTGTGACTATAGATATTTGCTACTAAGAGCAATTTCAGCTCACTCTTCAAAAACCATTTCTTAGCCATTTTATCGGGCCTAACACCCAAAACCTCTCCACTATCTATTTCCCATTTCACCAAAAAAGTTCGTCAAATTTAGAGAGCCCTTCTTCTTCTTTTTCAACCATTCTTCTTTTTCTTCCTTCGTCCTTCTTCAACCATGCCGAAAACCCATCTCCTCCCCCATGCCAAAACCGAAACCCCCCTCCCCTCTTCCCCCATGCCTTTACCGAAACTCCTCATTTGATTTCTCTCAGTTGAATTGAATTGATTTAAATTTTTGGTTGAATTTTAGGTTAAATTGATTATTGGACAATTCTTATACTATGGTAGAATTGCTATGATTAAATTTGATTATTTACTTTTTGTCATTTAAAATTTTGATGATGTGACATGACACGTCTTTGTGCCATGTCATCAATATAACGATGACGTAGTAGGTTATATGGCATTTCAATTTAAATTATTGAAAGTTTGTTGAAATAATTAATTAAAATAGAGATCATAGTTGGAGTAAACCTATAAAAATGACTTTTTAAGATAGAGACAATAATATTTAAATATAATTTAAATTGCTAAAATAAAAAATTGGGTTCTACTTGCACTAACAAAACATCTGTGCAGACACAAGTGGAAAACATCTGTCAAGACACAGCCTATTACTTTGATGATTAAGATCCTAGGCCCAATTTGTCCAAAACTCTTGCCCCAGTAACCTACCTGCCAGCTCGGCAATCAAACGTGCACGTGGACGGCAACGATTATGCTAAAAAATCGTCCTTTTGTCTTCATTCCAACCGTTGACCAAGCACAGGAAGTGCCTAAATAACACTTTGAACCCAAAAGATTCTTAAATTTTTAATTTACATTTGAAAGATTAAAAATTTTACATTATACCTTTAATCCGACAAAAAAAATAAAAATCATATTATCCTATTTCTATATACAATTATTTTCACAATAATCAATTTTAAGTGTTCTCAATTAAAATATATGCTCATTTTTTTTTTCAAAAAAATGGAGCACGTTACTATTTTTCGTTAGATTGAGGGTGAAATGTGAAACCTTCAATCTTTCAGAATACAAATTGAAAATATAAAGATCTTTTGATTCAAAGTGTCATTTTCTCAAAATATCCATCTCTCACTGTTCATCTTCATGCTATATGTAGTCCTTATCCGCCAACCCCTCTCTCTTCAATCCACCTTATTTGTTCATCACTCTCACGATTGTCTCCACTATATTAGGGCTTTTGCGATGATTCGGGATCGAGATATAATGAGCTGATCTGAATCGGTGGTAATGTTTCTCGATCTTTTGTTCGGATTGTAGAGATCAAAACGATCGGTTCTTCTGTGTTTAGGGTTAGGGCTCTTGAGTTATCGTCCGAAAAATAAGTAAATAATTGTGAAGGGCATCGAACGATGCACTCGGTGCCTTCAATTGATTCGATGGCTCGTCCTTGCTCTACCTCATTCTACGGTGGAAGGAGCTCTCATCGTCTTAAACGTCTTGAAAAAGGTGATCGGCGTGGTAATCTTAGTTAACACTCGGTCTGTTATTCACTTGATTTGATTTTGCTTTCAGTGTCATCTAGGGTTGTGGTTTTCTGGATTTCATTGTCCGATCGAGTCAATACAAATTAGGTCTTGGCCCTCTTGGGTTGGTTGATATTTGTTGGGTCAACGTCATCTTGAAAGCTGAGGATTGCTTGGTTTGATTTGGTTTGGTTTAGTTCTTGCTTGGAGGATCTTCTCGGAGTAGCCGTTGACCGAAAGGTATTTAGTTGATTCACAAACGCTTATGTTTCTTTCTTTTTTCCCCTTTGTTGTGCTGATAAAGGTGTTTGTGTTGTAAATGAAATTTTATGTTTTTCAATTATTACTTGTTGATTTAGGGATTGATGTCTATTTATGCGGCACATTTAGTGGGTTTTTGGATTTGACAAGAACAGCGTAAATTCGTTGATGCTCAAGTTTAGGAGCAAACAATTTTTATGCACTCCATTTTTGTCAGGATTTTGATTATTATGTTACATTGTCACTTTATCAAACTGTTGTTGTGTCTTGCACTTGGGGTTCCTATCAGGAAGTGGTGTTAGTGGTGAGCTGGATCCGGTCTAGATAAATTGAATATACAAATTGTGGCCGCAAAATCATGTGCTCGAGTTGTTTAATTACGTTGTCACTGTAATCCTATGTATTTCAATTAGTGTGATTTGTTGTATCTGAAATATGAGCCTTCATTTTATTCTCGTCCCCAAAACTAGGAAGAACATGCAAAGTTATAGTATGTCAGATGACATGGGTTGAATGTTATGGGATATCAGTTCAGTGGCCTATTAATTTCTTGTATGTGGATGGTCTACACCTCCCATTTCTATTGTTGAGAAACTCTTTTGATTGGTTTTTGCTAGAAGATGTACTAAGGTCCACAATTTGTTTTCTGCCACTGGAACTTTGTTGACATGCAATATATCAAATTTGCTGTACTGTTTCAAAAAACTTGGTTCCCCATCCCATGAGGATAATTGTCTTTAGCTACTTCTGTGCTTAGTCTTTTGAATATGTGCTTTGGCAGTTCTACTTTCCAGCTTCTGTTTTAGTGATGGACGTTTGCTCCTCTGGTGGTAAGTCAGTTCCTGAAGATGAGAACAACTCTTGTCCATTGTCTGTGGATCCACCACACTCTAGTTATGGAGTTACAGGACCCGTTTCTGTGAGTGAGCTTGGTAACTATCTGACCGAGTTTTTAAAAATTCAAGATAATTCTGCATCTGATTCCATTCAACCTTCTGCTAAGAAAGTCATGACCAATATGAAAAAGGAAGACGTGTGTGAAGGTTCCCATGAAAGTAGATTGGTCAGTGTCAATGCTGAGAAGTGTTTCAATAAGTGTGCATCTTTTCCAGGTTCTCATAAGATTACGTCCCCGGAAGATGAGGAGAGGGGGGTAGTTAAGGATAAGGAGGATGATCTAATTGCTGGAGTATTGGTAGAGAATGGCAATGCTAAAACTGTTGCCTGGCCTCCCCCACGCACAATATCTTTGCCTGTAAGTAGTTAATTTATTTGTCCATGAAACTTGGGCCTTAATCATATTTTCCGTTACTTTTATCGAATTGTTTGGTGATATTTCTGTACCTGTCAAGTGAACTTAATACTGACATTTATACAAGACAGATTCAATAATTATAAAGTTGTTTGTATTATTGGCTTGCATCTTGTATTGATACAGCCATATATAAAGTGTTAGTAAATGGTGTTTTATTCCTTATTTTCAGTTCCCCAGAGGTATGTATTTTATGTGTATGTGTTTCTGTAAGGGGTGGGGCATGGGACTTGGAGTTGCATGTGTGTTCTGTTACTAGTTTTCTGTGGTAGCATGTATTATGCGTCTAGTCATCAAATTTCATTTTCAGTCTTGTGGTGCCCTTTTCTAATTCATATTTGTTGGCTTTGTAGCTTGCTTGGCAGCTAAGGTTATATTTTTGTACTTTTCCTCATGAATCTTTATTTTTATATTTGTGTCCACCACCTCGACCCCCCCTTCCCCCCAAAAAAAATAAATAAATAAATAAATTAAAGAAATACAGTTTTGTCAAGAGTATTTTAGGTGATTTAATAACTTGGAAATCATTTTTCTACCTAGCACCAGCGAGGAAATGATATTCAATATGTCTGACATTCCAGACTGATTTTCTTCCTCCTGGCAATTGGAAGTTAATTATCAACAAAATTCTCTGTTTGTCTCCCAAGCTTTTCAGCAAGTGTTGGTGAACTTTAACTGGGATTGAATACCACCACAGATGGGTGGTTCTGTCTCAGATTCATGGGATGGCGATTTATGTGAGACTCCACTGTTCTTTTCCTCGATGATAGTCAATTAATTGCCCTGCATTTTATTTCTCCTTGTTATTTGCTATCACAGACTCCTTCGAAGCTTTTATCTGCCATGAAAGGCAGCCGTGAGAAACAGGGGGCACACACCCAGAAGCTGACTGTGACATGGGCCCCCGATGTGTATGACCCAACTCCTTCAGCTGCCTCACATGTAGCAACAAACAAACCTCAACGTCATAGGAATGACAGCAAGAAGAATGGAAAGAACAAGCAGAAAGGCAGTGGCAAATCTACGCGAGGGAGCAAGGGCAAAGAGAAGAAGCAAGCTCGGAAACATGGTGGAAGCTCAAACAGGGGTTTCAAGCGACCGGATGATGACGGCAGAGTGGTTGACTGCGGAGTGCCTCAGGTTGGCATGGTGGATTTCAATGTTGGCTGCCCAGATCCATTTTGTGGTCATAGTTTCCTCAAGCAATCCGTCACTAAGTTGCACTTCTCGGTTGCTGAGGCCACGTAAGCAGTGATTTTTATTCAGCATCTCATACGGTGTTCTGACTGGCGGTGTAGATAAAAAATATGTAAAGATCTGAGGTTTTGTTGATGATATGAGTGGAACTTAGAAGGCTTTGCTTATCGTGATTGTACCCACTTGGACTATTTCCTTTGCTTGTAGATAATCTGTGCTTGTTCTGCATTGGACCTTATTTTAAAAGCCCTTAACTATGACTGCGTCTAAATTACTACACTTGATTTAAACCAATACAAGAATGTTGTCTCGCCCGTTTTAACGTGTGGGGGAATAACCATCTTGACGGTACAGTTGCAATGTTTTCATTTGGATTGAAATTTCTGAGGTTTGGGCTTGCTAGCAAAACACTGAACCTTTAATTTAGGTATTGGAACTTGCTTCGACACTTTTTGATTGCTGTTTGGCGCATTATGGACCATGATGGATGCTGTCTCTTTTATTCTACTCTTTGGGGCTTTTGGATGATTTTTAAGATACGGATTGGATTGGACCCTTCCAAACCCAATTTTTTAGGTTTTGTTCATGAGATTGAATTCAATCCCATGTTGGCAAGTGACACAAAATAAACATGAAATTCACAGATTAATCACAAATATCATTAAATATTTGTTATGAAATTGCATAAACACGTTCATCCCGTGGGTTTGTTGAAACCCTTATACATGAATTTTATTTGCAGGCTGGTTACAGTTTAGGATTCAAATTCTAGGCCTAAAATCTGCAACCAAAAAAAGAATAAAGTGATGCATTGGACTATTTTAACATATTCCACTTTATGCATCTGACTTAAACCAATGAACCACGCATGCCCTTATTTTACGGCACACTCTGGGATTCTGGGTACAAATAGTGGAATTCACATAAATTCGTGTGACGTGTGATCTATTATTTGAATTTATTACTGAGCAAAATTGAAAGAGAATAAAATAGAGAATATTCCAATTCCAATAGTTTGTATGACCAAGACAACAGGGTAGAAAAGTACCACCACACCACTGTGCATAATCAATGTGGCTAATATATCACTAATGACACTCTATTTACCATTCAGTACCTAAGATTTTTGTTTGGTCATTGGAGCTCTTTATGATTGCTGTGAACTCGGTAAGACAATCCTTGGGGTGCTTTTAAACATGCTGTTTCTGATTCTGCCCGTCGGTCTGAAATAGTGTCCCCCCCCCCCCCCCCCCCCCCCCAAAACAAAAAAAAAAAAAAAACCCAACCTAACCCAACAATCCCCCAAACAACACACCCACACGCACAAAATGACAACCCAAAAAAGATTGTTAGTACATAGGAACTGGTACTCAATGAGGAAAGGGTGCAACAGTCATACAGGAATTAAAACGACATCAAATATAATGTCTCAGATGGTAGTCATACACATCTGTAAATTTGAAGGACCAGTGCAAACTTTTTGCTCTGAAACATTGGGGGCTGTGCTGAGAGAGAGCTGTCGTTGGCCCTAAGCGGGAACCAGTTTCCCAATCAGCAACAAAGGTCATAATGAAAGCTCAGGAATAGCAAAGAAATGCAGTGGCGTTGTGGCTAAAAAAATCTGATCATCCAAAACCCAATTAAAGGAAACACCGAAGAATAGGACAGAATCTTCTATGTTGTGTACTCGGCATTTATTTTTACATAATCATAACTCATGTCGCAGCCCACGCTAACCCACTTCCTGGACCATTACCTGTACAGTGAGAAGCAAAGTGAGTGCCAATCGCAACAAAAGATGATCTCTACTTATTAAGTTATAATTTACCTTGAGTGAGGGGCCACAGGAGCTTGTTTGACATTAAGACACCCTCACACTTTCAACACCATAACAATGCTATGTGAGACTCTATATGGCTAGTGATCCAAAAAAGAAATCCCAAAAAACAATGGTTTTTCGCTTTGATATAGTGTTTTTGCCAATCTTTAAATGCGGGTATGCCTGATAGCTGTAATTTTGTAAGCTTGTAGATCAATTATTAGATGAACTTCATCATACTCCACCTTACAAGAATGATGTGTGATTATGACCATTTGCTAAAAATGTTGTTCAACCCTAATCTCCCAAGATCATTTAGAAGAGACTTCTTTTAGATAGAAAATTTACAAAGCAAGGATCAGGGTATAGGGCATTCCACTTTTTTGTGACATGCTATGCGGCCTCTAAAATAGAACATGTATATATATGCTCGGCATATTATCTGAAGCTTACCAATGGATAGCTGAATTTTGACTGTGCCATGCGTCTCACCAGCCTGTCTGAGGTAGTTACTAGCAGCAACCCTGGAAAACTCAAGTTTCTTAGATTATGGGAAGAAGGGGAGGAAAAAGGCAAAAACAAAAAAAGAGATTTTATGCTAGAAGGGAGGATACCACAAAATTCGAAGAGAACAAAATAAGAAAATGAGAAGCTGGTAAAATCACTTTATTCCTCATAAAGATGAAAAACATAATGAAAGAAATATATACCTCTCTCTCTCTCTCTCTCTCTCTCTCTCACACACACACACACACACACACACACGCACACCCCATCTACCCTGAAATTGAATGCATTCAAACAGTTTTACTAGTATGGCTCTTTCCCGGAAAGTTCAGCCTGCTTTGACAGCAGTGGAAATTGGGCAGGAGGCTGAAATACCTAGCAACTCTATAGAGAAACAAAGGAGAAGATACCGAGATAGGGAAGACAAGATGACGAGATGATAAGTATTCTGGTTTTCATTTTGGATTTAACCAAAAACAATAGACTACAACTACCAAACTGATCCAGAGCCAGTTGTAACTTGTCTGATTCTTTGCTCATACACACACCATCCAGCATCAAAATTGTTGGGCTGGAATGCTCTGGCCAGACAGCCCACAATCGAATGGAACTAGTAGTGAAGGTCAAAACTGAAAATATGGTGGACCTTGGTTAATGTGTCAAACTGTTACATACGAGTGCAAAACCAAGCCATAATCTTACCTGTCAAATGGAAGTGGTTGCCCACCATCCATAAGCAGAGTATCTCCGAGTAATATTCGGAGCATGTTTGGGTCAAAGGGAATTCCTGCATAGCCAGCAGCACAAGCAATTCGTCCCCAATTTGGGTCTCTGCCATACACAGCAGCCTAATAATATAATTCATAGCAAAATTGGATTAGCAATATAGTAACCTTAGAAAAATCAATTATAGAAGATATTTCAATGTAAGATATCATGCCTTGGTAAGAGAAGAAGATGCCACTGAGCGTGCAATCTTTGCTGCTTCAGCTTCACTGCCTGCACCACTTACCGTGACCTGCACATATAAATTGGAATTACAAATCCTCTAGATTTTATGTATCCTCTATCTTACGCCCATCATCCTCGGAGAACTAAAACCCAGAAAAAGGTTTCTTTCCACTTATTTGTATTTACATCCACTTGGTGCAACTGGGAAAAAAAAACCTTCAATCTGAACAAGAAGATTATAGACATCACGACAAAATGTAAACTTCAAATGGAGGATAGAAACAGCCAGACTACACAATTCAAACACCAGCAAAAAAAATAATTACCTAAAGCCCAAGTTTATGGAAAGATCAACTCTGGTGTTTGGAGAGGAAAAACAGAAGAAATAAGTGGGTAATGATGTTAGAATTTATCATGTGTCTTCACAGAAGGATTTTTGTAATCTGAATGTTGTATTCTGCATGGATTAGCTGAGATTTTTTGCAACTCAGTTTTGCATTAGTTATTTTATAGCACGTGGAACATTCATAAAAAGAGAACTGGTAGCTCCCTATTAGATGGAAGAATTGTGCTTGGCAGGCAAAGTGTATGATATAGCAATAACATTAGGCTTAACCAAGTACGAATGAACTCCAATTCAAGATGCAGACCTCAATCAGGCATGTTGCTCCTTCGCCATCCCAAGCTATTGATTTTGCAAGACCCTGCATTACCTGAAAAAGAAAATAAAGTCAGATTCTCTATAAACTGCTTCAGGCCTCCAAAGTGTCATCAGCCACTGTAAAGGAAGACATCAAAGAGTCATCCTAGCATCACACCCAACCCCCCGCCCAACAAAACCACATAAAAAAGAATCCCCAGGAAACACTCCAACCCATTGCATCAGTGTTGGATTAAAAAACAACCATGGAAACGAAGGCACCTCTCAGACAAATGCCTTCTACTCCATGGTGGAAAGTGCCAAGGTCATTGGCTTTCCTTGAACTAAGTGACCTTAATCAGAATACACCAGACATGAAAACAAAAAATATCTTGAACCATCAAGTCGACCATAAGAATGAGTCAAATTCCATCATGTCCAATATAAGATGACATAAAATAGCATAGTAATAGTAAGAATATGGGGAAAAGAAAAAAAAAAGGTAAAAGTTGTACCAGATGCAATTGATGGACCCCAGCATCATACCAAATAGATTTATACTTGAGAAGCATTATCCTTAATTTTCCAGAAACATGACAACAAAACTAAGTCGGCAGAATTATTGTTCCAAAAATATTGGTGCCAACCATGGTTAAATTGGTCTGCTTCATCCAACATCTTAAATCATACGTTTGGATCACAGCAGATGAGAATAAGTTAAAAGGACAGTTCAACATACTGCATCAAGGCATGCTTGCAGCTGTGTTGCTTCTGCGCTATTTAAAGAAGAGATCCTGTTTGACCCAGCTAGGCCGCTGGCCAAAGCAATGACAGCATCATTGGTACTGGTATCTCCATCCACCTGCAGCAAATTCATACTTGGACCGGCTTTAGACCTTGGAAGCTACTAGTCCAATGACAGAAAAATTATAAATGAAGATCAAACTTTTCTTCAGCACTAATTACATGAAAGAAAACATGGAATAGGACAATAGAGTAGATATAGCCGGTGCAAGTCAGTTAGAAGGCTATAGATAGATGTTTGAACTTTGAACAATATGAAGTGGCTGCCCTTAGACCCAAACATGAGTTCCCTTGCCTGCAAGACTTAGCTTTTAACACATCCAATAAATGGCCTCCTGTTGCGCACTATTTAAATGCTTCATCAAAAGTCCAAGACCAGGAAACTTTTTTAGGTGATACCAATAGTAACCAAAGGAATAACTGATGCACTACATAATATAATCCCCAAAAAGTGTCAGGAAGCTATTGATCATTTGGATCTTGAAATATGAGGCACACCACAAAGAACTCCCAAGATTTCTGCAACAATCGCTGAACACCTCTTGCCATTCAAGAAATAACACAGTCCCAAGTTTTCAGTAGCTAAAAACACGCTTCCCTACTTGACTCCGTAAGTTAATAAAACAAACAAATTTTCCAATAGTTTTAGCCTTCATTGT